TCGTCATGTTGTCAGAAGAGACAATTCACTGGAGAAGGATGTCATGCTTAGTAAAGTGGAGGGTCAGTAAAAAAGGGGAAGGCCCTCAAAGAGATTCATTGACACAGTGGCTGCAACAATGGGCTCAGGTATAGTAAGGATTTTGAGACTGGCACAGGATGGGGCAGTGTTACGTTCTCTTGTACATAGGGTTGCTATGAGTTGGAGCTGACTTGATGACACCTAACAACAACAACAACATATATTATCCTCATGCCAAAAAAAATTAATAATAATTAAGTAGTTAAATGTATTATTTTTACATTTTATTCCTTCTGAATTTTGAGGAATAGTCATCAAAGATTTTCTCCATTTCTAGGTATGGTAGTTAAGGTTGTATGTCATCTTGGCTGGCCCAAAATTCTAAGTGGCTTAGCAGTTATGATATAGTTATACCCAATGATGAGATTGGAAATTAAGTAATCACCTGCATGATGAAGTCTGCTATGAGCAGCCAATCAGTTGAAAGGGAGTTACTTTTGGGGAGTGGCCTGTTTCCAGTATATATGGAAAAGTTTTGGGAAAAATCTCTGGCTTTTTGCTCATTTGGGATCCTGCATTTGGCTTATCATCCAGTTCCTGTACTTGAACCAGTGGCCTTCCATGTTGCCTGCTTATCTTGGGATTGTTGCTTTCACAGCCTATGTGCCAACAGTCTGCCACTTTACCTGACAATCTTGGATTTGTCAGCCTCTGAAGCCATCAGCTTGCTATATTGCTTGCTGATCTTGAATTCATCAGCTCCTGCAGCTGCATGAGTCAGGAGAAGCTTCCGGCTTGATGTCTGACCCACAGACTTGGGACTGGCCAGCCTCTACAACTCTGTGAGCCATTTCTTTGGTATAAATTTCTCTCTTTCTCTGTGTGTGTGTATGTATATGTGTGTGTGTGTGTATATAAACTTCATGGGTTTTGCTTCTCTACAGAACCCAATCTAACACACTAAGTTATAAAGAAATCATCCTATGTTTCCCTCTAGTATTTTTATGCTTTTAATTTTGATTCATATATACACAGTGATGTAGCCAGTATTCATTCTCTTTTTCAAAATGGCCATTTTATTGTTCCAACACAGTACATTAAAATGTCTGTCACGGTCCCCTAGTAGATTGAGATGCCATCTCATAATGTTCATACATACTTGGCCTTATTTCTGGACTTGTTCTGAGCTTGGTATGCTGTTCTGTTGATATTTTTGTCTATTCTTGAATCAGTACTATATTGTTTTAGTATCTAGTAGGGACTAGCTCTTACACCACTTGCATGTTTATTTTCCCATTGTTAAAACAAAAAATTCTATTAAGTCGATGGTAACAATTGATTGATGCTTATTGAATATATGATTTGTAAACTAGGGTAACATTTTGAGTGGAGAGTCAAAAACGTTCTGAAGATGAGAGCACCTTGAATCACTCTTATACCACGTATTATTGGAATTTCCATGGAAAAAGGGGTCAGAACAGAACTGATAAACAACATACGGTCAGGAAGAATTTCATATAGCATAGTCTTCAAGAACAAATAAAATGATTACTGATTTACACTAAAAAGTTCCCAGTCTGACCTTTGGAGTCTCTTTTCCCCTGAAACTGACTAAATTCTTCAAAAAAGCATGATGCCCAAGGCAAAACACTCTTACAGTTTATCTAAACCAGTATTTGACTCAAAGGTAACATTTTAGAAAACCAATTTCTTCAAGGCTCAAGGTTCAAAACAACATCTTAGGGCAAATGGCCTGGGCAAGTCATCCTAACTCTGTTGTTGTTGTTACGTGCCATCGAGTCGGACCCGACTCATAGCGACCCCTCCTTGGGTTTCTGAGGCAGTATCACTACGGAAGTAGATTGCCCAACCTTCCTTCCGAGGAGTGGCTGGTGGGTTTGAATCGCCAGCCTTCTGGTTAGCAGTCAAGTGCCTTAGGCACTATGTTACCAGAGCAGACCCCAGAAATTTGGATTCCAGGAGAATTAAAAACTCTCACCATAAAAAAAAAAAAAAAAAAAAAAAAAAAAAAAAAAAACCTTTGGAATCAACTTGTCTAGTCTTAGAAAATAATTTGTTAGGCTTTAAAATTAAAATAGTTAATTTTGCATATTAATTTAGGGATAATAGGCCTGTCTAAGATATTGAATCATCCTATCCAAAGATGAGGGATGTTTTCCGTTTGTTCAAGTTCACTTTTGCATCTTCCAGAGTGTTCTATAATTTTCCTTGTGTAGATTTTTGTGAATTTCTTAAGTTTATTTTTAAACACTATTTCTTTTCTGTTGTTATTGTAACTGGGATCCATTATATCTTCTATTCTTTTAATGTAAATAGATAAGATTTTTTTTTTTGCATGTTGTTTTTATGTCCTGCTCCTATACTGAATTCTTATATTGCTTATATCAGTTTAAGACTTGAGTCTCCTGGCTTCTTCAGGTACATTATCATACCATATCATCTGCATGTGGAAATAGTTTTGTCTTTTATTTTTTAATTCTGTACCTCTAAATTTTTTTTTTTTCTTTAAGCCCTAATTATTTTTTCCAGAGCAGAGAGTGATAGCATCATGGAAAGAAGTCTCTGGGATGGTGAGAGGGACTCTGATGTGGAACACAGGTGGAAGATAACAAGACTGCTAAAAGATGGAGGGGCACCTCTCCTGCCAAGAGGGTGTGCTTTGGCATCTTAATCTCATCTAGAGAAGGGCCACGTGGTGAAGGGGTAACTGTAACAGGGTAAGTCTTGGAAGTAGTCTCAGGAACTGGCTAAGGCTGAGATGAAGGAAGTACATAAGAGAATGTACTCTATCGTGGTGGGGGAAGGAGAGCCACCCCAAATTAGTCCTAACCTTGGGTTCGGTAGTGACACCAGGGAAAATTCTTTCATAAATATTGTGCTGACACACAATAAACAAGTTCTTTAAAATGCCTGTAATTCTGTGGAAAGAAATTTGGTAACTCTTAAATGATTCTTATAAATTATTAAGTCTAAGCCTATTGTTCTCAAGGAGTAATTTTAATCACTCTAGATCAGTGGTTGTGCACATTAGCATCACCTGGGGCCTTTAAGAAACTATCAATCCCAAGTCTCACCTCCAGGAATTTCATCTGGGGATGGAGTCTCAGGATGGCTGCAGTTTTTGAAGATTCCCAGGTGATTCTAATGTGTAGCGAAGGTTGGGAGCCCTGTGCCTACCCCATAGGTGAGTAAACTGAACGAAACCAAACTCACTGCTGTTGAGTCGATTCTGACTTATAGCCACCCTTCATTGGGTTTCTGAGGTGGTATCTCTACAGAAGTAGATTGCTCAGTCTTCCTTCTGAGGAGTAGCTGGTGGGTTTGAACTACCAGCCTTGGTCTCTATTATTTGTACCTGCGTCACTGCCAGGAAGTAGCAAGTTAGCTGAGGTGTCCAGGACCTTCCTTCACATCACGGTGGAATACCAAAAAACCCACAGCCATTGAATCGATTCCAACTTACAGTGACCCTATAAAAACCAAACTCACTTCAATTCTGACTCACAGTGACCCCCACTGGGTTTCTGAGGCTATAAATCTTTATGGAAGTTGATTGCTCATCTTCCTTCCCTGGAGCAGCTGTTGGGTTTGAACCATTGACCTTCTGATTAGCAGTCAAATGTCTTATCCATAAGGCTACCAGGGCTCCTCAGTGGCAATACAGGACAGACCGAGTAAAAGGAGCTCTGGTGGTGTAGTGGTTAAGGCATTTGGCTGGTAACCAAAAGGTCAATCAGTGCTGCTTGTACTGAAGAAAGATGGGGTAGTCTGCTTCCATAAAGATTTATAGCCTTGGAACCCCAATAGGGGTCGCTATGAGTCAGAATGACTGGATGACAGTGAGAGAGGACAGAGTAGAAGTCCCCCAAAGTGTTTCCAAGGCTATAAATCTTTCTTCCTGAAAGGCTGGTGGGTTCTAACCTCTAACCTTTTGGTTAGTAGTGGAGCGCTTAACCACTGCAGCACCAGTTGTTGTTGTTGTTGTTATGTGCCGTGGAGTCGGCCCCGACTCATAGCGACCCCTCCTTGGGTTTCCGAGGCAGTATCACTACAGAAGTAGGATTGCCCAACCTTCCTTCCGAGCACCAGAGGTACCCCAAATTGTTTCCAAAGATGTAAATCTCTACCGCAGCAGCAAGCAGATTGCCTTATCCTTCTCCCGCAGAGCGGCTACTGGGTTTGAACCACCCGACCTTTAATAGCAGCCCAATGCTTTAATCCATGCGCCACCAGAGATCCTTCAGGGTGGAATAGTGCCCTAAATCCAGAGTGCTGGGTGTATAGAGACCCTGGAACACCTACATTTTTCAATTCAGACTTCATGATTTTTGTTCTATGCCTCCTGTGTGCCAGCGGAGGGGATAAGCAATTTTACATATGTAGGTCGCCTGAGGCTCATCGAGGTGAAATGACTTTCACCTTTTGTGTTTTTATCACTGCTGTATCTGCAGAGCCCTGAAAATGCTTGGTACACAGTAGGTGCGGAATAAATATTTTCTTATGAATGAGTTGCCTTATGGGATACTGAAATGGCAGTGAGTGAATTACAGGTAACCTACATCATTTCTAATTTTAACAGCGGATCCTGAAACGCATTTCTGTTTTTGACTTTTTAGTCAGAGCGGGCTTCCCCACAGTAGACTTAAGACTTTCTTATAGTATTGAGTGTGCAGCTGAAGACGGCACTCAGCCACTAGGAACCTCCTCTCGGAGCAACTATCCCTTCGTCTGAGACCAAATAAAGCAGCACCCAGGATTTGCTACGGTCACGTGAGCTCCCAGGCACTGCCTGACGCTAGGCTTTTCCGCCTCGCGCATGCACAGAGGGTCTGTGCTGGTCTTTAAGGAGCATGCGCAGACTCAGAGACCTTGGTTTCCTCTCAGGCTCCGCCCACTTCGCGCCTGGAGGGTGGGACTAAGGCCGGGCTGGGAAAAGAGGCGGGGCAGTAGCTGCGCGCATGCGCGGAACAGAGCTGAGGGGCAAGGGGGAGTACAGGGTGGACAAGTTTGAGCTTCCGGAGCAAGATGCAGGTGAGTGAGGGAGGCACGGGTTCTGGAGGCCGAGTCTAGTTGTTTGTTTCCTTGGGCTGGAGCCGAAGGCAGACTCTCCCTACTGGGCCTACGGGAAACCCCGGGCGCCAAAGCACCCGAGAAGGACCACGCGAATTGAGGCCCAGCGCAGGCGCAGTGGGTGGGTGGGCGTGGTCCCTCCCTGGTTCTCCACGCTGCCCCAGTACTTCCTGTAAGACACCCACTATCTCGGTTCTTTTGGGCTACCTCGCCACGAGGTTGATCCCACCCAGCACCTATGAAGGCCTTGGTGAATCCCACCTGAAAAAGTTAACTTACTCGTTAACTCCTTTGATCACCTGAGCAGCAGGTATGTTATGGATCCATTGTACGGATGTGGTAGAGGAGGATCTGAGAAGCGAAAGATCCCACTTGAGGGTTCCCCCACGTAAAACTGGTAGAATTCGGGTTCCTGACTCTCTTCCTCTTCCCCTGAATCAAGTTGGTCTTCCAGTTGGGGTGCACACTCTTTTGAATTTGATTGTTTCAGCGCCGTCAGTATCACTCTAAATGCACGCAGGCTAGTAGTAAGGATCGGGTAGATAACAGGCAAAGGAGTTAAAAAAGAGTGCCCAGCACTTAATGTTCAATAAGTGTTAGCTGTTGTTAACTACTCCTTGGGGTCTCAGCTCTTCCTCTCAGGTTTGGCCATTGTAGAATTTGGGCTCTTCTGCCCCCTTTAATTGTGCTGCAGCCACTCTGGACTTTCTGATGATCAGAATGTCAGTCTGCTCTTGGGGCCTTTTGCATATGCTGCTCCCTTTGCCTGGGAAGTTTTTCCTAAATTCTCAACCTCATCTTTTGTTCCTTCCCACCCTTGGATAATGGTTAAATGTTGCCTTTTCTAAGAGAACTTCTGTGGAACAATGACCTCTTGTAACTCTCCAAGCCAGCAGTGTGGTTGTCTGTCATTGCAATTAACCAAACTTGTAAATATATAACTATTTGTATACTTACTTGTTGATTGCATATCTCTTCTCCACTGTGACATAGGTGACTTCCATTCATTCTACTTCTCTACTGTCAAGTACAGCAATTTATGTATAAAACTGTTGCTGTCAAGTGGATTCCGACTCATAATGACTCTATAGTGCTGAGTATAACTGCCCCGTAGGCTTTCCAAGGCTGTAAATTGTTATGGAAGCAGACTGCCACATTTTTTGCCTTTGGAGTGGAACCTTCTGGTTAGCACCTGAGCCCCTAATCACTGTCCCATCAGAGCTCCATAATTTTTAAAATATTTGTTGAATCACTCCAAGTCACTATTAGAAATACTGAACAGAAGCTAGCTCTGATGCCACCTCTGCACATCCTATCCTGACTGTTACCCCAAGACTACTTCTTGGGTGGAGGGGATTAGAGTACAGGGGAGGAGTGTTAAAGCAGAAGAGATGCTACGGGTCTTTTGACTCCTCAGAAATAGGCCACAGAGTTACTTGGTTTGCCCTCCTCTCTTTGCACCACCTTTCCCATTTGACTCCTTACCCAGTGTGTTGCTCTCCACACTGTACTTTGCATTCATCATAGTCTTGATTTTCCTGTTCTAGGACCCCAATGCAGACACTGAGTGGAATGACATCTTACGCAAAAAGGGCATCTTGCCCTCCAAGAAAAGCTCAGAAGAATTGGAAAAGGAAGCAGAAGAGGAAGAGCAGCGAGTCCTTCAACAGTCAATTGGTGAGCTTGCTTGTTTTCTTCATTCCATTCATTCCATGTTTATCTGGGTCAGGAGACAACCTTCTAAACCTCTCACTGCTGTGGTTAGGATCCTTTGAGCTAGAGCCAGGAGATAAGGGCTTGGATGCTGGCATGGAGACAATCTGTGTGACCTCGGGCAAATTACAGGATGTTTCTAGTCTTCATCTTCCAAGGCTGTGGAATTAGGAGGACTTTAGGGGCTACTTTCAGTTGCATAATTCCTTGTCTGTCTCAGATGAACATACGGTAATCCTGAAGAAAGTATCTCTATATTTGATTTTCTGGTTTGTGATTCACTGTGCATGTCACAAAAATTTGTCCTAAAGTTTTAGTGTTTATATTCTCCTGAGGCTGTCTTTGTGGTTTGCTTGACAACATTAAATTAATACAGCTTAATTTTGGGTAGCATAAGATGTTTGCAATAGGTGGGGTCTATGGGGTTTCCTCAGAGGTGGTCATAGCACCAGAGTGTTTGTAAAAATAATTCCTAGGTGGCCATCCAAAGCACAACAGTTGTTCTGTATCTAACTAGAAAAACAGAGGAAGAAGGAAAGTCAGGAAAAGGAGGAAGATATGGAATGTGTGGCTAATCGCCTCCATGAACAACGGCCTCCTTTGCTGTGAGACCAGAAGAACTGATTGGTGCCTGGCTATCATAACTAAGCATTTTGATCAAAGAGTCCACAGAAGAATCCTGATCAAGAGGAGGAAAATGCAGAACAGAATTTCAAATCATGGACTCCAGACTTCTGGAGCCATGAAGATTGGATGAACCCCTGAAACTGTTGCCCTGAGATAATCTTTAAACCTTAAACCAAAAATATTCCCTAAAATCTTCTTACAACCAACAGTAGTTGAACTTAACTAGTAAAAATAGTCTGCCTTGAGCGTTATGTTCTTTTAAGAACTGTCTATATGGGACCAGTGACAGCAGCAACTTGAAAGATTAGATAGGAACCTTAGGGGCCAGTACGTTTATGTTTATGAGGAAAGAACCTCTCAGAAAAAAAGGGTGAGAATGTTTGCACAACTTGAAGATTGTAATCAGTGTCACTAAATTGTACATGTAGAAACTGTTGAATTGATGTCTGTTTTTCTATGTATATTCTCAAAAACAACAAAATAAATAAGATATAGGGGAAAAAAAGGATATAGAAAAAAAAAATATACCCAGTTCCTACTGAATCACACTGGAGGTGGGACCCAGGAATCTGCATTTTAAACAAGCGCCTCAACAGATTTCTGATGCGTGCCACATTCTGAGATCTGTTGATCACAGAGTTTGGTAATTTTTGCCCCTATATTTACAGCTGATTTCCAACCAGAAACCAAACATAACTGTCAAGTTGATTGTGACTCAATAGAAAACCTCCTTGAGTTTCCGAGGCAATATCTCTACTGAAGTAGATTGCCCAACCTTCCTTCTGAGGAGTGGTTTGTGGGTTTGAATCGCCAGCCCTCTGGTTAGCAGTCATATGCCTTAGGCACTGTGTCACCAGAGCCCTCATAGCTGATTTAGAGGAAGATTTATTTGCAGAAGGGTTGATTGTAAAGCATTTATCCAGCATAGGTTTATTGAATGATTACCGTATGCTGGGTGCTATTGGATCACCGGTGGTAAGGTGGTTAAAGCATTGGGCCCCTAACTGAAAGGTCTGTGATTTAAACCACCAGCTGTTCCATAGGAGGAAAGACCTGGTGATCTGCTCCCATAAAAATTATAGCCTAGCAAATCCTATGGGGCAGTTCTGCTCTATCTTACAAGGTCGCTATGAGCAGAATTGCTTGGGTGGCACAAGACAGCAATAGGTGCTATTCTAGGCAGTGGGAATTTAGCTTTGCAGAAGCCAGACAAAATTCCTTCCCTCATACAACTTATATTCTAGTGGAGTAGGCAGACAGTAAACAAAATAAATAAGGAAAATAAGACAGGAAAAGGGGCTAGAAATGCTTGGAGGAGAGGTGGATGTAATTCTAGATGGGAACTGAGAGGGCCTCACTGAGATGACAGTTGAGTAAAGACCTTAAGGAGGTGAAGTTAATATTTAGTGAAGACCTGAGGGAAGTGAAGTGGATGTTCGAATAAAGACCTAAAGGAAGTGAAGAGGTAAAACTCCCGTTTGAGTACACTTGAAGAAAGTGAGATGAGCTATTTTAGCAAGCAAAAAGTGAACTGGACATGTTCAAGAATCTGAGTAGGCCAAAGTGACTGGCAAAGAGTAGTAGCAAAAAGTGAATTCAGAGAGGCAACTACAACTGAAATCGTTAAGGGCCTGTTGTTGTTAGATGCCGTCATGTTGTCTCTGACTCTTAGCCACCCTGTGCACAGCAGAATGAAACACTGCCTGGTCCTGTGCCAAGTTTACAATTCTTGTTTTATACCTGAGCCCATCATTGCAGCCACTGTGTCAGTCTATCTTGGTGAGGGCCGCCTTCTTTTTTGTTGACCGTCCACTTTACCAAGCATGATAGCCTTTTCCAGGGAATAGTTCTTTCTGACAACATGACCAAAGTGGTGGTGGTGGTGGTGTTATGTGCCATCGAGGCGGACCCGACTCATAGCAACCCCTCCTTGGGTTTCTGAGGCAGTATCACTATGGAAGTAGATTGCCCCATCTTCCTTCTGAGGAGTGGCTGGGGGGCTTGAACCGCCAGCCATCTGGTTAGCAGTCAAGTGCCTTAGGCACTGCGCTACCAGAGCTCCCATGACCAAAGTAGGTGAGACAAAGTCTGGCCATTCTCATTTCCAAGGAGCATTCCTGCTGTACTTCTTCCAGGACAGATTTGTTAGTTCTTTTAGCGGACCAAAGTACTCTTAGCGTTCTTTTCCAGCACCACAACTCAAAAGCATCAGCTCTTCTTTGGTCTTCCTTATTCATTGTCCTGCTCTCACGTGCATATGAGGTGATTAAAAATACCATGGTTTTGGTTGTTGTTGTTGTTATGTGCCATTAGTGCACTTTAGTCTTCAAGGAGACATCTTTGCTCTTCATTACTTGAAAGAGGTCTTTTGCAGCAGATTTGACCAGTGCAATACGTTGTTTGACGTCTTGACTGCTGCTTCCATTGGTGTTGATCATAGAACCAAGTAACATGAAGTGCTGTTTATTGGACCAGTTGTGAGAATTTTTGTTTTCTTTCTATTGAGGTGTAATCCATCCTGCAGACTGTAGTCTTTAATCTTCATCAGTAAGTGCTCCATGTCATCCTCACTTTTAGCAAGCAAAGTTGTGTCATCTGCGTATCGCAGCTTGTTAATGAGTCTTCCTCCTATCCTAATGCCATGTTCTTCTTCATATAATCAAATTTCTCGGATTATTTGCTCAGCATACAAGTTGAATAAGTATGGGGAAAGAGTACAACCTTGACACACTCCCTTCTTGATTTTGAACCATGCAGTATCAGTTGTTCTGTTCAAATGACAGCCTCCTGGTCTATGCACAGGTCCTTTATGAGTATAATCAAGTGTTCTGGAATTCCCATTCTTCTCAATGTTATTGTTATAATCCACACAGTTGAATGCTTTTGCATAGTTAATAACACATAAGTAAACATCTTTCTGGTATTTTTTGCTTTCAGCTAAGATCCATCTGACATCAGCAATGATATCTCTTGTTCCACGTCTTCTTCTGAATTTGGGTTGCATCTCTGGAAGCTCTCTTGTCAATATACTGCTGTAGCCATTTTTGAATTACCTTCAGTAAGATTTTACTTGCATGTGATATCAATGATATTGTTTGATAATTTCCACATTCTGTAGTGTCACTTACTTTGGAATGGGTACAAATATGGATCTCTTCCAGTCAGTTGGCTCTTGGCATACTGAGTAAATGCCTCCAGTGGGGCATCCGTTTGTTGAAACATCTCAATGGGTGTTCTGTCAATTCCTGGAAGCTTGTTCTTCACCAGTTCCTTCAGTGCAGCTTTGACTTCTTCCTTCAATACCGTTGGTTCTTGGTTATATACCACTTCCTGAAATGGATGAACATTGACCAATTCTTTTTGGTACAGTGACTCTGTATTCCTTCCATCTTCTTTTGATGTTTCCTGTGTCATTTGATATATTGCCCATAGGATCTTTCAGTATTGCAACTTGAGGCTTAAATTTCCTCTTCAGTTCTTTCAGCTTGAGAAATGCTGAGTGTATTCTTCCCTTTTGGTTTCCTGACTCTAGGTCTTTGCACATTTCATTATAGTAATTGACTTTGTTTTCTCGAGCTGCTCTTTGAAATTTTCTCTTCAACTCTTTTATCTTGTCATTTCTTCCATTTGCTTTAGCTACTCTTCACACAAGGGCAAGTTTCAAAGTCTCTTCTGACATGCATTTTGGTCTTTTCTTCCTTTCTTGTCTTTTTAATGACCTCTTGCTTTCTTCATGGGTGATGTTCTTGATGTCATCTGACAGTTCCTCTGGTTTCGATCATTGGTGTTCAGTGCATCAAATCTATTCTTTAAAAGGTCTCTAAATTCAGGAGGAATATTATCAAGGTCATATTTTGGCTCTCATGGATTTGTTTTAACTGTCTTCAACTTCAGTTTGAACGTTCATATAAGCAGTTGATGGTCTGTTCTACAGTCAGCTCTGGTCTTGTTTTTTGTTTTGGCCGAAGATACTGAACCTATCCATTGCCTTCTGCCACAGATGTAGTCAGTCTGATTCCTATGTATTCTATCTGGTGAAGTCCATGTGTATAGCCATTGTTTATTTTGTTGAAAAAAAGTATTTGCAATGGATGAGTCATTGGTCTTGCAAAATTCTATCATGCAATCTCCAGCATTACTTCTAAGGCCATATTTTTCAACTACCTGTAACTCTTCTTTGTTTCCAACTTTTGCATTCCAGTTACCAGTGATAACCAACACATCTTGATTTCATGTTTGGTCAATTTCAGACTGCAGAAGTTGGTAGAAATCTTCAATTTCCTCATCTTTGGCTTTTGTGGTTGGTGCATAGATTTGAATAATAGTAGTATTAACTGGTTTTCCTTTTAGGCGTATGGATATTATCCTATCACTGACATCGTTGTATTTCAGGACAGGTCTTAAAACAGTCTCTGTCACGATGAATGCCACACCATTCCTCTTCAATTTGTCATTCCCAGAATAATAGATCATATGGTTGTCTGATTTAAAATGGCCAAAACCAGTCCATTTCAGCTCACTAATGCCTAAGATGGGAGCACTGGTAACGTAGTGCCTAAGGCACATGACTGCTAACCAGAAGGCTGGCAGTTAAACCCACCGGCCACTCCTTGGAAGGAAGGTTGGGTAGTACAATCACTACTTCTGTAGTGATACCACCTTGGAAACCCAAGGAGGGGTCGCTGTGAGTCGGATCTGACTCGACAGCACGTAACAACAACAACAAAGGCCTAGGATGTTGATCTTTATGCATTCCATTTAGTTTTTGACAGCTTCCAAGGTTCTTAGATTCATACTTTTTTACATTCCATGTTCCAATTATTAATGGATGTTTGTGTCTCTTTCTACTCAGGGCTTGATAGCTTCTTAAAGATAAAAGCCTTTGGCTTTCATCCTTGGTGAGACGGGAAACTGTTGGAGGGTTTGAACAGTATCCTTCACTTTGACAGCACCATTCTTTTGCTGCCTTACTGAGCACAGACTGTGGAGGCAGGGCAGAAAGTGGTAGACCTGTCTGAAAACTCATGTAATTAACAGGTGGGAGGTAACAGTGGCTTTCACTGGAGTGGTGGTGACAGAAGTAGTAAGAAGTGGTCAGATCTGGATATGTTTTGAATGTAAGGCCCTCAGGACTTGCTGATAGATTTTATGTGGAGTGTGAGAGAAAGATGGGTCAAGAATGACTGCAGAACTCTGGGCTTGAGCAACTGGAAGAATGGAGTTGCCACCAACTGAAATGAGGAGAGCTGAGAGACAAGCAGGTTTGAAGGGTAAGAGCAGGAACTCAGTTTGGGCCGTCTTAAGTTTGAGATGCTTATTAGAGAAATGTTGTTGTTGTTGTTATGTGCCCTGCAGTCAGACCCAACTCATAGTGACCCCTCCTTGGGTTTCCGAGGCAGTATCACTATGGAAGTAGATTGCCCCTTCTTCTTTCTGAGGAGTGGCTGGTGGGTTTGAACCGCCAGGCTTCTCATTAGCAGCCAGCCTTAGAGGTAGGAGGAGAGGGCATCCTGGAAGCTAGCAGAGGAAGGTCTTTCAGGGAGGAGCAGTGATTGGTTGGGTCAAGTGTTGTTCATTGATCAAGAAGGAAAAAGGCTAAGAATTGCTGGATATCATTGCTGACTCTGATAAGAGCAATTTCGTGGAGTTGATAAGAAGAATAGAAGCTTTATTTGATGTCCAAAAGCAAGAGTATTTATAGCAGTAAAAATAAGCTCCAGATTTTATAGTAGTTGGTTAGAAAAAGACAGGGCTGTCTATTCCTCAATAAGAGAAGACCAAAAAGTAGTATGGTAATCACCATTAGCTCTAGGAAGGGTATGCTCCCAGAGGATACTGACAGATTTTCTACATCCCTCGGATGAGATGAGAACTGTTAATATACCCTGTCTGTGAGAAACTCCTCATTTCATATCCTTATTATTGTGTGGAGGTAAGACAATCAAGCCTGTAGATGTTACATCTTTTTAAAGCATCCTCAGTTTCTTACTAACTAGCATAATACCTCAGATCCTTTTTGTGTTAGACTGGGTTCTCTAGAGAAACAAAACCAGTAAAGCTTAAATATATGTATGTATGTATGTGTGTGTGTGTGTGTGTGTGTATATATATATATATATATATAT